CCCCTCCTCTTTCTCTCCCTCCCCCCCTCTCCCCTGAGGGGGTTTTGCTATGAAGTTCAGGCTGGTCTTGAACTCACTTTGTAGCCTGAACTGGCCTGAAACTCACTGCGATCTTCCAGCCTCTTGCCTGAGCCTCCTGAGTACACCACCACAACCAGCTCATTTTCTAAGCTATACATTCTGGTCATTGTTTTTATGAAGCTTCATTCCCTCCTCTAAAAAATCAACCAATCAATCAATCTTGAGAAAGTGACAGAATCCATCACCCTGTGGGTGTGGCTTTGCCTATGTCATTAAACATCCTCGTTTTTCTGTTCCCTCCTCCTCCTCCTAACTCTATGCCTGCTTTAGTGGCAAAAACACCACTAAGGGTACAAGTGCTATTAAGTCCATGTTTATGGCTAGCCACTTGATGGGTACATTCCCAATACCTGTCACAACCATGTGAAGAAGTATTTTCAATATACACCTGAGAAATGATAAGCGAGCATCCTACTGAGACCCAGGGAGGGTCTAAGGAAGGCAGGTCTAAGAAGAAAATCCATCATCAGAAGCCTCTCCCTGGAATCACCTTCTTCAGCCCAGAAAAAGTCTTTGTACCTCTTCCATTGTGTTTGCTTCTAAATTGGTCAGGATTTTTTTATATCACTTCTACTATGTTATGCAAGCCTAATGAAGACAGCATTGCAGACATGATATTCAGTATTATGAGCAAAGCAATAGGATAAAATTAATGTATTTCTATACAACCAAGTAATTTTACATCCTTAAAACTTTGAGCAAAGCTTGTTTAATTACCAAGCCATCACATAATTTATTTCATAATCTTGAGTGATGTGTCACATCGAAGAGTCAGTCTACTTTAATTCCTCCTTGTATCATTAGGGCAGGAAGAGGCTTTCATTTGTTTCTCAAGCAATTATTAGATGCTGGTTTGGAAGAATTAATCTGCCTTTCAAAATAAAATGATTTAATTTTGAATTAGTAGGATAGAAGTGTGGCATCCTTATTAACTTTATCTATAATTTGTCATATTGTCACAGGTTTGCATGAAAAGAAACAAGAAGTAATAACACTGAATAATAATTCTGTTCCTTGTGAACTTATTTTGAGTGCATATAACAGCTACCTGGTAGGCAGCTTACTCTGTCTGCTGCCCTGCCTCGACTGTTCAGCTCAGTCTCACATGACTATGTTCAAGTGTAATGCACTCTGGTAGCTAGAAAGGCATTAATATTTATTGAGGTTTTCCTCATGCCTTTTGCGGTTGAGGGAAATGCATTCAGACTGCTAATATCCTTAATTATGCTATAAATTTGATTTTACTAGTTTTCGTTTTCAAATAAGGAAACTGAGGTTCAGACAGTTTGAGGGTGGCTGGGAGATTGTTCCTGGCATGCTTAAGCCCAGATCTCTAGACACCTGCCCTGCGACTAATTAAGGAGATCTTTCTCCAGCAGCACCCTGACAATCCCCTGGGACCACCTGGGAGCAGGCTCTTTACTCCAGCTTGCTCTCCACAAAGCGCACCAAGCTCCTCTGAGAGGTCGTCCTTTTCTCTGCCTGGAAGCAACATTTATTGTCCACATCCTCACAAATCCTGTACACCAAGGGGGAAACTTCCTCCAGAGCCCCATAGCCAAGTGCCTGTTGTTCCTGGAAAGGTTCGAACCCCAGGAAAGAGAGCTAAGTCCGGTAGCTGTACCAGGAATACTTGCCCAGGAGTCTGCTGTCCCTGGAGGTGTTTGCTAGGCCCTCCCACCCGAAGCAGATCTTTGGGAGAAATTACTGGGGAATGTGGGTGGACGGAGAGGGGAAATGGGTGGACAGTGAAAGTGGGGGCCAGAGAGGATCTGAGATGTGAAGCCAGGAGACAGGGGTGTTATGTGACATTCCCAGTCCCCGACACCCAGGAAATGGAAGAACGGGGTTCGCGCGCCAACCCCACCTTCTAACGTACTGGGTCTCTCTTGAGCCCCGGAGAGGGCGCGCGGGTTTAGCAGAACGCAGCAAGCAGCGGCTGTCCTGAAGCTACGTCTCAGCCACCCCGCAAGTCCGCAGAGGCGAACCGGGAGGAGGCTGAGGCTGTGGCCAGGGGACCCACAGCTGGGCTAGAGGAGCGAGCGAGGAGGAGATGCGGGGCGGGAGGCGCGGCCGTGGCTCTACACCCCGCGTCACCGGGCGGGGACAGCTGAGCTATAAAGCTCGCTGGACGCCGGGTCCGCGCTCTGCTCCGCAGGACCTCGACTAAGGCTTGCGGGCCAGAGGTCCCTGATCTGCCTCATCCCGCCAGGCAGCGCTACGCTCCCTTTCCACTGAGGGCTCCAGGGACCTGAACTGTGTCCCCATGGCCTCTCTCGCGGGGAACCTGAGCGCGTGGTCGAGCCCAGGCTGGCTGCCCATGGCCGCGCTGAGCAACCTGTCGTCGTCCCCATCCCCGTTCCCGTCTCTGTCCCCATCCTGGGCGCCCTCGCCGCGCCCTGGCCCCGCGCACCCTTTCCTGCAGCCGCCCTGGCGCGTGGCGCTCTGGTCGCTGGCCTACGGTGCCGTGGTGGCCGTGGCGGTACTGGGGAACCTCGTGGTGATTTGGATCGTGCTGGCACACAAGCGCATGCGAACGGTCACCAACTCCTTCCTCGTAAACTTGGCCTTCGCCGACGCCGCCATGGCAGCGCTCAACGCGCTGGTCAACTTCATCTATGCGCTGCACGGAGAGTGGTACTTCGGCGCCAACTACTGCCGCTTCCAGAACTTCTTCCCCATCACCGCCGTGTTCGCCAGCATCTACTCCATGACGGCCATCGCGGTGGACAGGTGAGGGGACGGGGGACAGGGACTCTCTCCGAGGTGCACAGGCGAGCAGTAAAGGAACAGGTGGGGGACAGGGACTTTATGGGGTGGACAAGTGAGAGTGAACTAGAGAGAGCGGGGTGGAGCAAGGAGCAGGTTGAGAGAGTAAAGAGGATGGAGCCCAGGGAAGGCGGCTGTACAAGGAAAGGAACTATGAGGGAGGATGGGGAGATACTGAGAGAAAGCCGAAGGAAGTCTCTGAGGCTGAACTGGTTTTCACGTTCCTGGTGTCCCCACCCACAAGCCCCTAACTCCTTGAATCCTGCTAGGGCATCTAGGGACTGAATAGGGGTGGGGGCGGGAGAGCGAATGATGAAAATCGAATAATTGTGCAAAATCCATACTCTGTAAAGTGCGCTCTCTGGTCTTTTTCTCTGCTTGTCACTACTCTGGCAGAGAAATAGAGACACCCGGCACCCTTGCCTCCTCTTCCTAATCCTGCCTCCTTCGCGCACTTTCTAGTGGTGTCCTAAACGGCCTGGTTCCGCCTGGCGTTCTCATGCAGCTCTTTTCGGAAGACTTGTGTGCCAGCAGCTCCTGGGCTCAGGAACTCAGGGTCACCAGTGGAAACCAAGACCTGGGGGTCTGGACGAAGATAGGCAACACTAACTGCAAGGAATGAGCAAGTGATTTTTAAAATGAAACTCATTCCCTTACACCTCTTTACACTAATTTTTTCAGACAGGACCCCCACTGCACTGGGAATTCTGAGATACTTAAGCAATTAAAGGAGCTGAGGGCAACTCATGCTGGCTCCCATATTCATTTTTTTAATTAATTTTATTGAGAAAAAAAATTGCAATGTGACAGCTTCAAAACAGATTGATAGGAGAGTTACAATGATTAATACATTGCATATTGTTGTCTTTGTAGTAGTCATTCATAGCACAAGATGCAGATATGATATCCTATCCAAACACTATTAGTACAGATCTTTCTTCTTATTGAATTAAGAGAAAGTAAAGTAAGTGAGCACTTGGTTTCTTCCCCTGGGCATAGGCAGGGTGAATCCTTGCCTGTTGCTGAAAGCTCGACTTTCCTGTGCAATGAACCCACAAAGCAGCTGCCAGGCTTCAGGATGACCAGAGCAGGAGGTTACAGACAGGCCCCTATACCTGCCCAGTGCCTCAGCATTCTTATCTGTGAAAGGCGGCTTTTTTCCATGAGCAAGCCTGTCGAAAAATGAAATTGTGCTAAATATTAATTATTATTTTATCCAACTGCCATTATGAAACAAAAAAATTTTTAAAACAATTTTTTTTCTGTTAATTCTCGGTTTACTATTTGGCAACAGTTAGCACAGGAGTGCTAATGACAATACAATGGAAATGATTGTAATGGCATAAGCCCAGGGGGTTATGAAGGACAAGCTGTCAGAGTTCTGTAAGTGTGATAAGTCAACTCAAAGTCACACTTTATAAAGCCTCTGCAGTTACTGTGTTCCCTTCCCCCTCGTCGCTGGTCTTCCACATAGTCAGCATGCACTCTTGCTAGGGTGACCAGTGGCGGTGACAGGTGACAGCAAGATCAGCCTCCCTTCTTTGAAATTGTCACAATCCTTTCTCCCCCACAATGGAAGTGAATATTCCTTTGGTTTACACACAACCCTCCTTTGCTATTGTCGTCTCTTTGTCTAGGTTTCTTTTTCCTTTACAAATTTCCTGCAAGTGCATATGTGGCTTTTTAATGTTGTGATCCAGGGGAGAGGCACTGGGCTATGATAAAATGCTCATGATGGCCTTGAAAGGCTAAGGAGGCAAAGAGGATCTGATGGGGATTTTAGTGTGTGTAAAAGTGATATTTCAGTTCTGAAGGGAAAAAAGATAAAAGCTATTTTAACTTATAATGCAATGCTATTTCATTATATTCACTGGTTTGGAATTAATATATATTACACTCCAGGACTTTTTTTCAATACAAAACTTAACATTAAAAGTGTACAAAATACAGCATAACATTTGCTATAAAATCCAAGACATGGAAAAAGTCCTTTAAATTATTATTTATAATACTTTTCATCAGGAAATTGATAAAAAGAAATATTGAAGTGGAGATAAACCTTTTAAAGACTATTTTGAGAATTAGAAAGTATATAAGCATGGCATTTATTAAACCCTCAATAGTGCACCAGTCCTAGGAATCTTTGAGCACTGGAATAGTTTTGCACATGGATCAGAAACTGACCCTATGGGTTTATAGTCATTTTGTAGGTAACAGTTTCCAGGGTGAAACCCTCTGAAATGACATGTGAGTCATGATGTCTTGGGTTATGGTCATGTGGACATACTGCTTTAACTGGCTGAGAACACAGCTAACTGTGTGCTCATGGAGATATTTTTTTTCACCAAAACTGGTACTTTATTGAAATAGTTATAAATATTAAATATCATTGACCAATTCTCATTACTAAAGGAATACATCATGTAGACTGAAGTATAACACTTTAATTATTTAATAAAAGTGTTCTCCATCCATATTTAGTATAAATTGAATTGTATCATCCCAGGCTAAATGAAAATTATATTCAGTAGACTCTGATTCTTTGCTTAAAATCCAAACATCTCCTGGGTGTTGGAGCAAAAATAAAGAAGTCGTCAGCTTTGGCTTGAGCACATTTGCTTCCCTTTAGCTGCAGCAAAATGCTAGCAAGCCTCCAAGGGCTCTATAAAATGTAATACATGAATAGGTATTATTCCCTTAATGTAAAAATGAAGAATTTTAAACTATAGGTCACATCTAACAGGGATAATTATTGAAAAGAATATTTAACTGAACTAAGAAATAGCTTTAGTCAAATAAATAAAAATGTATCATATACATGACTCTATTTTCATGCTATCATTAGAAATCTTCTATTTCGTAAAACTGGCTTATGTAAACTATTCACTGAGCCTCTGGAGGGGGGCTTTTGTAATGGATTATGCACAAACAGCAAAATTGCAATCATGGAAAGTAGTAAGGTCTTGAGTCAGTAAAAGATTGCCTGAATGTTGTAGATACAGATGCTTTGGTAAATGTTTGAAAAATCACTTATCACTCTGTACCGAACACACTGCACAGTCTCATTAATTGTGGGAAAGTCGTCTGGGCAGGCGATGCCCGTAACCAAAGCCACACTCATTCTTGACTCTTTATTTGTTCCAAATGCTTGCCTTGAAGAGGTTGGCCTGAGATCAGATACCATCTGTATTGGTATTAGTACAAAACAGTCACTACAACTATATTTGACTATATTTGGGGAGATATTACTTTTAGGAAACAATAAACTTTTGGGTCATTGCAGTTTTTATTCAAGGACCTTAAGGTACTCTGTTTGTATTCACTAAAATTACTGCTCAAAAATTAAGGTTGGAAAATATATGCAAATATACAAAAGTAGAAACCAATACATACTTATTTGTGTATAATATAAAACATGTGTAGGATAAAGCTGAGAAATAAACATTCAAGTCAAGGGTCCTGGTCACTTGTGAGTGTTGAATTTCAAGTTGCTGAGCCTCTTGATAACTATACAAAACAGGAAATAAAGTTAGCAATATGGTTTAAATTGTTCATAATGACACTATACATACCTGCCTAACGTGCTGAAGAAGCTTTGTCACTTGAATTTCAATGAAGCCTTGTATAGATCAAGAAGAGAACTGCTCAACCCCACTGCTGTAAACATCAAGCAGGTCATCCAGGATTGGGTTTAGCTTTGCTTGAACAGCCCAATGGTGAGGTCCCAGAGCAGAACTCAGTGGTAGAAGCTCACAAGGCACTTTACTGGGAACACAGCTTCCAGATGGCCTGGTCTGCTACAAGAATGAAACTGCAGAAAGGATAAAGTATATTTTCTCCACAAGTGTTTTTCCTCACCTGAACCTTAAAGCTTGAGAAGTTGGTAACTTGAGGTTGCAATATGTGATAAAAGCTCTGTGAATTATTTTGTTCCACAGTCTCTGTTATTGATCCACTCTCATTCCCACTCTTATTTTTAAATGTATTTTCTTCCAGTTCATTGTAAGAGCCACACATTCACAGTAAAAAATAAAATCCAAAAATATTCTACTCTCCAATCTATGTGCTCCACATCTGTACATCAGCTCTTCATGGGTTTGATTTATGTTTTTCTCTCTCTCACACACACACACTGCCCCTCTCAAATTTCTCCTTTCACTATATACTTATATTTTCACTCATGCAGATTATATAAATGTATATATGCACATGTGCATATAAATTGATAGCTAAGATAATGTCATATGTCTTCTTTAAAGGAATATGCTTGTTTATTAAACATTTATATAATAAATTCCTATATTGTGAATATATTTTGGTATCAGAATGGAGATTAATCTTACTCTACATAATTTTTACTTTATGTTTGAAGACATATATTTAGTATAAAACTCAGAAAAAACATGTGACTTACAAATTTAAAATCCTATTCCTAAACTTTCTTTGAGCTCTACTTATGTATATTCAATCACCTACTTGACATTTCTCCTTACATGTCTGGAACCTTCTTAAACTTCACCAATAGACTTTCTTCCATATCTTTTCCTTTTCTAACGCTACCCATGTGGATAAATAGCAAAGCACTCCCTCAGGTCTCCAAGGAGCACCCAGCTTCTTTCCTTTCTTCTATCTCTGCACTTACTTCTAAGCCAGTCTCCTGTCTTCCCTGACCTACTTCAAGAGCCTCCTAGTTGATCTCCCTATATCTAGACCTTGTGTGTGTGTGTGTGTGTGTGTGTGTGT